AATACAGTAAATACAATCGAATAATTTCACTTCGATGAACCACGTGCTTTTAACAGAGGAACGCGTTTATTAAAAATCCGGTCTCGTAAGAGAATCGCGACGATCAGCCTTATTTCTTGAACGCGGTGGCCACCGTTAAGCATTTGAAAATACGACCGACAGTTTGACGGAACGGTGACGCAAGAATCCCACGAGACACCCGTCGCAATAACGGCCTCGTAATTCCATTTTTGCGATTTCATTCGAAGCACCGTTTCTCTGCCGGGTCCACCGACCGTGCACTTTAAATTAGACCAACTCAAAGTCCCAAGCATTTCTTCCCGATCGCTCCAACGTCGAAAAAATGCTCCAGATTTAACGACCAGCCGTATTTCAACGGGAATGTTGTTACAGCACCGCCGTAAAAGACGCGCGAAAATAATGCTCGCGTTGTGGAAAAATGGAATCTTTTGGTGAAAAAAGATCGATACCGTTTCAGGCGGTATGGTGGATCCTAATAAATGGTCGATAAGTTTGTTGGCCCCGTCCTGACAGTGAATTATGGCGTCGAATGGTACCGTTGATCCAGTTTCGGTTTCAGGTCGAAATTAGGCGAAATAAGATTCGGGCGTCTCGTTAGACCGCCAGGTAACCGATTCGCCTCGTTTTGAGTAAAACTTTTTTTTTGTAGAAAGAAAGAAGCTCATCGGAAATTAATTCGAATTAATACGGCGTTATTAGTTTATCGAAATCTAAATGTGACGAAGTCAAGAGACGCCATATTTTTATACGCCAGATATCATAGAAAATTTGTTAGAAAATACAGAAAAATTATTTCGTCTCTTTGAAGAGTATAATCGTATAATTTTAAATACAGTATTTTTATCGTACGTAAAAAATTGTACGATGAAGGTGCATATTTATCTACCACAAAGCAAATGGGCAAATATTGCCATACATCATTATTGCCTCGAGTCCCAAAATACCTGGAACGCGACCCTAATGCAAAATACAATGCGATCCAGGTAACGTAAACCTTGCTATTCCCGACTAGTACTCAAAATAGAAAACTGAACGTTAATTTGATGATTTGATTGAGACTATAATCTCTTAACGTTCTGTAGAAGAGGGCTACCTTTGGTATAGCTTCGACGAAAGAAATTATTATTAGTATAGTGATTTGGGTAGGCTAACGTAATCACATTGCTGCCAAATTGCTGATTAATACCTTTCGTAAAGCCTTTGTGTCCCAAACGATGGCGCCGCCATCTTGAAAAGAGATCAATATGCAATTTTTATTTCTACTATCGGAACGAATATTCCCCCTAATGTGGTTTTACAACTTTTCGAAATAGGGTTCACAGAAAAAACGAAAAATGTTAATTTTTATGAACTTCAAATCTATTAACACTAATGTCTGAGTATTTCTTCAGCAGTAAATAAGTTTCATTGCTAAAAACTTATATATTAAACAGAAATCCAGAAATCTACGTGGAATATCTCGCTGAAAGGATGTTCGAATGTCGAATAAAGTTTGGTTTTCGTTAAACCTGTATAAAATCTCACCGATCACCGACGCCATGACAGTTTCACGGGTCGCGGCTCGGCGGAGCGAATTAACGCCGAATTAAAACGTGCTCCGCGAAAGAGACTCGTTAAAGATTAACCTTAAGTACGAATTTAGGTGTCGTCGTAAACGTCGAACAGTCCGAAGTTGTGCAAAAATTATTAGCAATCTCTGATCCAATTTTGAGCGCGGCATTGTATCGCAGAAATTGCCACTCTATCCTACCTGGATCCGGTGGAATTTTCGTATGATTTATTGGTAGCGCGCGAGCACGTTCGCCGATCGTTAGCGAGATGGACAATAGTTGGAGAAAATATGAAGAAGAATAGATAATGGTGTTTAATCTAATTTCGGTCAACAATGTTTGGCATACCTGCGCGTAATGTTCATACCTGTCCAAACAATGAGCTCCGTACGGGAGTGTGGAATTCTTGGAATATCGTAAAAATAAGAATACCTCGTTCCTTGGTATCCAATAAATTTCTTATTAATTTCTTAAAAGGCAATTACGCGTAACCGAGGGCCCCTCGAACTTTATCTGACCTCAATAAAAAGGACATTTGTCGCAGACCTCTTAAAATAAAATTACATTCTAATCTTGTAAATACGATTTTAAATTTTAAGTCGACAGTTTATAGAATTTTCATTCTTTGGCCATTTTGTCGGTATGTATTGTTCAATTGAAATTAATAATTACTTGGTAAATTCAAATTTCGATACACTGTTTTTTAAAAAATTGAACATATTTATGATCGTAAGAGTTCGAATGTTTTCGAGTTACGAGTTGCTATTATTTCCATAAGAATGGCGACACACCAGAAAGCGGACCATTCGGCTTGTTTGCACGGTTTCAAAAAAAAAGAAGGAAGAGAGACGAGAGAAATATTTACAATCGCAGGGTCGTTTAAAATAGAGCAGAGTTTTTACGAGGACAGTCGGTCTTTAAGGAAATACCCGTGGCGGTGGTAGGAGCCGAGTTCCTTGCTTTTTATGGCGTTATTGCGCTCCGAGTCTTCGACACAAAAATGTTCCCATCTTCGGACGTTCTCGTCACAATGGTCCTCACCGTCAGACACTTCTTCGGTTTACCGTGCAAGATTAAGCACCATTTCATTCGAATAATAAAACTCCAAATTCTCGAAACTCTTGGCAATCTCGAGTTCGTACATTAGTTTTCTAAATAAATTCTTCCAAACGCAATTTATTCTAATCAAATAGCAATTTATAATAGGACATTACAAGAATCTTCGATCTTAATAGGACACGATGAATATTAAAACTTTCATGTTAAATTACGTATTTTAGAAGTTGTATAGATTCAAGTTTTTTTAGATGTTTTGGAGTACAATACGCAGTTGGTAAAGAGTTGATGTGAGGATAGAATTTTTTAACCGTTTAAATTGTGTAATTAATGCCCAACAAACTTTACGTCAGATTATTTTTTTTGCCCTACTTGTTAATAAAGTAATTATTACAATTCACGTAATTTCGACGCTTCTTCCTGTGTTCTCCATTCCAACGTCACGAGATGAAATCGAAGTTTCACGGTCGGATTCGGAGATAATTATGTTTACAGTGAGCGTCGAACATAATCGCAAATAAGCTGCCATTAAGAGGATTTGCTCGTTGTGTTCGATGGTCTCGATGCTCCACGGGTTAATATTAACGATTTATCTACAATGCCACGCTTCCTGGCCTACCTGAACATCACCTGCCGTGTGTAACTAACTTTTCCACGTAAACGCTACTTTCGAATGTGTATTCCTCCCTTTTCAATTATTTTATTGCAACAGCAACAGAAATAGAAAGTCGAACTCGGAATCGCCTTAACGACGTTTTTATCTTTCGTTTTTTACACTTTTCTGTGTTAAAATTTGGACCCCAGATATATTTCAGATTAAACCCCAATATTAAAATGGCTGAACAAAGATCGAAAGTTCTTTGAAGTTACATATTACACAAATATCGAGTTTAAATATTATGTCTCCTTTCTCTTTAAAACCATACAATATCGTTATCTATTAAAGAGAATACAAAAATTCAAAGTATAAGATGCTTTTTCACGCGGAAAACATCGAAAAAATCGGTTTTTGATTTTTGCTACTGCGGCGGACCCGACCAAAAAATCTGAAAAAATTCAGGGAGATAACCAGTGACAATACGCATTTACAGTAATTATAGAAATCTAGTGCCTCGAAAGCTTCAATACGAAATTCGTATTTTTCTGTGTTTTTTTTGCGTTTTCAATTTTTCACACCTAGGATTTGGAATCGAAAAATCGGAAAAAAATTCTCAAACACGTATCTCAATAACCGCAATGCGCCAGATTTTTTTCATAATTTTTGTACTCGATTAAATAGGGGAAAGAGGCAGAAATTCGTTAATCCGAATTTTCTCAATAACTACCCTTCCAAACAAGATAGATGGTTAAAATTTGGCACAGAACGTTTTTTCTTGATGCTCTATCGATGGACCGATCGTATGTCACATTTCGTTCAAGGGCATATTTGACCCTTTACCCTTTACTCTATTTTAGGATCAGTTTTCTTTTCTTCATAGTGGCAATATCCAGGTGAAAGCGTCCAAGATTCAAGATTTTCAATAAAATGATCAAAATGGGACTACAAAAGATGAATCTTTGATTACGTTTTACACTCTGAAAATGCTACAAAATGCACCCGTTGCGAAATTATAGTCATCGTATATCCGGGGGGGAAGACTAGCTCCAATATTTAATTCCATCTTTCGTCTCCATAACCGGGGGTCGTAATACCGGAATTGGCAATTAATTTTTCTACAATTTCACCCATTATAGACGAAAAATTAACCGTCGCGTCGTTCCGGCGTATCGAATTCGGCGCGGATTTCGTCGTCGAAGGCTCCACCCTCTTACGAAATCGAAGTTGATCAGCGCCGTCGGAGGCGAATTTGCGCGAGGAAATAACGACGGATAATATCCGCGAGCTCGATGCATAAGTTAATGCTGTTGGCGCATCTCGTAAAAATGCATCTCTTCGTAGCCTGATGGTCGCGGAGCGAAGTGAAGAGTGGTAGGGGGGGGGATTCGCGAAGGAGAAAATAGGCAGAGCTAGGAGTTTTGGTCGGGCCAATGGGAGGACGAGCGCAGAGGCGGCGACCAATCGTCGAGCGTGACGGAACGATGGTCGCTCGACCGATTGGCAAGGTCGTATAAATTCTCTGTAGACCAGGTCGTCCTCTCAGTCGCACGTTAGCACTTCTCGTTGAGATTTTGGTACGCTGTAGGCACGAAGAACCGTGGTCTACGAGTCCCGGAAGTTCGCGGCGAAGAGCGAGTTTCCCCCTTGTGCGCGCATCTTCGTGAAAATTAACAAGAACTCCAAGACTTGGTTCAGTGAAAGTAAACGAACGTTCTCGGGGGGGAAAAAAGGATCAGTGAAAACAGTGGTGCGACCTGTTCACCGAGCTGACGAGGATGCAGGGCTTTCAAAGGAACTTTGAGGATCAACAGAGGGATCAGAGGGAGGAGGAGACGATCGTGGTGGATCTGGTACCGCCACAGTATCAGCTCAGCCCGCCGCATAGTCCGCCGGCGGGAAACATGTCGAAGACGCCGGAAAAAGGTGAGCTTTGACGATCCTTGTTGTCAAGAATTATTTGTAAAAAGAGTTTGCAAATAGGTTTGGTGATAGATTACGATGGATAGAGTGTATCTCGAATAACGGACGGTGACTTTATATTCGTAAACTTGCATTTGAGCACTTGAAACTTGGCGTAAAGAACTCGTGGTTCGAACGATAGGTTTTACTTAGCTTGATCGTCTTGTTGATAAAATTTTATAATTTTTACAAGATCGTCAAGTGTTTCTTATTCCTTTCTTTGACTGAACAGCTCGTAATAGGTAGATTCTTAACACAGATCTCCATCTTTGCGCTGTACTTCTTACAAACGTTATAAGCTTGTTTATATTACTTTCGTGGAACTTAAAATCGAAGATAGCAGACACATGTAGAAAGATGTACACATGTTCAACCCTTTCAAAATGTATTTCAAATTATATAGGATCAATATTGAAAGACTCGTGAATATTCACGCTCAAAGCCTTCGAGGCAATTTTGTCCAAAAGTAAAATAAATGCAGTCTCTTTGTATCGTACAGGGAATATCGAGTTTCCATACTATATTGTCTCAATTATGTTTGTGTATGTAATCTACGACTTACTGTGTCCCGATGTTTCGCGTTTCAAAATACAAACGTTCACCGTACCGTCGAAAAGACGTATTTGCAATAATTTGAATTCGCTGTGTTAAACCGTTGAAAGAGACGTTTATTCACAGAACCCAGTCACAGTTTTCATATTATATTTATATTCAGTATTTTAAATTCAATTTTTATCCAATATCTGACCCCCAAAAAATGTTAAATATCCTTCCACTATTTTCAAAGCGATCGATTCAAATAATCGCCCTTTTCAGGTCATTAACAATGTTTCCCACTGATTAAATTTCTTAACCAACGTGAACAGTAAATATTTTCATTTATAAACTCGAGAACTCGCAATAAAGACACTTATAGGGTTTTGGGGTAACTACTATAAGTTTACAGAATAAATCAATATTTACCGGAAGTATCGTGGTGTTTTTATAGAAATGTTGTCCATTGTATCAGAGGTGCGAACGTTCAAAATAATGAACGTCTTGAACGGAAGACTGTGCACCATTGACGAACGGGTTTTCCATAATTACCGCGTCGCCCACGCGAAAAACCAGCGAGATTCGCGCAATTATTGCATTATACGCAGGCAATTACTTGCGCCTCGAGAATCAGAGGGTTAACGACTTGGAACTGTTAATCCAATTGATTACTCGTCGACCCTGTCGATTCGAGTCACGGGGTAGTTATCGGGGACCGGGCGAAGTTAGAGGTTATTGAGGCGGCACAAAACGACCGTGAAAATAAATACGACTGCCGGGAATCGGCCAATCCCTTCGTGGAAATGCCTGTTTATTGCGGTAATTATTTTATGGCTGCTTCCTGATTACCGAGGGCTCGTTCCGGAAGATCCGTTTATTGCTGGAGGGGGGGAGGAAAATTGTCAATCGCGAGTTTTATGCCCGCAACCCTTAGCCCATTGTCCCTACTTCAAAAAGAAATTAACGGTTCATTTTTCCGGCGCGTTTCCCGAAATCAAACGCTTCACTGTTCGACGGACCCCCTTTCTGGAGATCGCGTTCGAAGCATGCAAATCGTTCGAACCGGATCGTGAATATTTAGGATGCACAACGATCTTCTCGAAGTCGATTTAAGGGATCCTCTGTTTTCTTCTTCTATTTATCTTTGACTTTATCGAGAAGTTAGCAGTCAAGAGATTACCGATACGTCGAGAGATTCGATCGAAACGCGAAGTTTACGTTCGGGGAACCGAAGAGAATCATTTTTAAAGGGAACAAGCCTCCCCGGGGTTTTCGAAAGAAGTCCAGGTGAGGTCCAGCGAACGCTGGTGGTCCTTTCTACTCGTTTACACGATCCTAAATGCGATCACCCGCTGCTTCCGGGGGCCGACAACGTTGTAATCGCGTTACGGAAACAAGAACGAAGCCGCCTTCCGTTGCAGGCAGTTTGTTCAGACAAATCGCGTCGTCTCCAGCCTACTTGCGACGGTCCATTCGCGAATAACGAATACAAACTTTAGATTCTTACGTAAACTGACAATTATCTTTAATCATCAATGTTTACTTCTGGCGCGTATAATTGGAATTTTCCACTGAGTTAGAAAATGAAAGATACACACAAAACTGGTATACAAGTAGCATCAATACGAATCGACGGTGTTCTCGAGTGAACAGACACCATTTTGGAAAGATTAACTGGAATTATTCGATAATTGGGAATATCATGAATTAACGTGTATTGTATTTTGTTTGCAGAAACGTCGCCATCGCATCAACAGCAACAGCAACCGTTGTCCTCGATGGATCCAAATATCAGAAGGTACAGAACGGCCTTTACCAGGGAGCAGCTCTCGCGATTGGAGAAAGAGTTTCACAGGGAGAATTACGTGAGCAGGCCGAGGCGATGCGAATTGGCCGCGCAACTGCACCTGCCCGAGTCCACGATCAAGGTGTGTGGAAACTTTTTTTTTTTCTTCTAATCACGCCGACCTTCCAATTAGGAAACCGTTTCATCCTCTCCGCGCGCCATCGCGCCGGTATATTTATCGAGGATGGGCAAACACGTCGCGGTAAAGTTCAGTAAACAGTGACCTCATCGACCGACCCGCGCGTAGAAAAGTGTTCCGTTAACACCTCGGTCTGTTTAATTAATGCCGGTAATCGACCGTCACGGGGGAACAGATGGGAAAGCCTTGAACGCTATTTCACTCTTCGTTGCGTAATTTCGTGAGAGGTTCGCGGATACATTGTGAAAGAAATTAGCGTTACCAGATTCCTTTAGAGCTCATCGAACGGTTCAGTATCTTTTTTTGTGAAAATTAGTTTCGCTACGGGCATTTCCAACCCTTCGCGAGCGGCCATTTTGGAGCACGAATCGTTACCTAGTAAGGGTTGACTTTTCGCTGAAGTAGAGGCAAAATTGTGAACAGAGGCTACGAAGATAAATACCACAAAAATATTAGCGTGATGCTTTGTATCTTGATGAATTATTAAAATTCGACGAGTGAAACGGATCTGGTCGAAGTTGTAAAAATCGTCCGCCGGAGACGCTCGATCAGGTCAATTAGAAGCTTTTAGCCGCGCAGGACGAGCGGAGAACGGTCGGAGGTTTTTTTTGCGCGCACCGCCATACTTGATTGGCGATCATAGCTCGCAAAGAGAGAGAAAAGGAGGAGGGGAGTAGAACTCCCGTCGATTCTTTTCGTTCCTTCTCGACCGAGCAAACAGTCAATCACGAAAAGCAAACACGAGCTTCTCGGTTTTTGCTTCGCCTCGATCCCCTTGATCCTTTTTCCGTGACTTCTTAATATCTTTCGACCGCGACCGGTCGATCCGGTCGGAGGTGTTAATAACTTTAATTAACGGTTTTCCCCCCGGTCCGCCTTTATCTTTAATGGATCCCTTAATTTCTCATCTCGCACTGCCACGGGCCTTCTAGCTGTAAACAATATACCGTAGCTATAAAACGCTTACCGATGAAAATGATCGAAGTGTTAAACGACGGAAACATTACGCTCCGGACTCCATTTCCCTTCCCGACTTCGAACTCTCTACAGTCGTAAAGTACGAATGAGTCTCGATCGAAATTGATTGCAGTACGCTTTAAATACAGTAATTGGTTCTAATTCGACGCAAATACAATGCAAAAAATTTTAAACAGTCCCCAGTGTGTTTATTAAATTAACGTGGCGAGGACATCTTTGTTGGTTTTAAAATATTTTAGCAGTACCATTCAATGCTTCTTTAAATCTTCGTACACGTGCTGGTGAAGACCATTGCTTCGTTCAAATCTTTTTGCTTTACATTTTTTACTGCTCGAAAATATATTCTTTGCTCATTAAGATGTAGAAGATCCAAGTTTTAATTTCAAATTTAATACAAACTGATCGTTTCTTACGAAAAATTTGTCGTGAACTTTATAATTTATAGCATATAGCATTAGTATTCGTTCGTATTATACGGTTCCTACTATATCTGTTAAGCTGTAGAAGATCCAAGGTTTAATTTCAGAATTAATACAAACTGATCGTTTCTTACGAAAAATTTGTCGTGAACTTTATAATTTATAGCATATAGCATTAGTATTCCTTCGTATTATACGGTTCCTACTATATCTGTTAAGCTGTGGAAGATCCAAGTTTTCTCGTATTTCTTCATTCCAGAATACAAACTAATCGTTTCTCACAAAAAATTTAACGTGAACTTTATAATTTAAATCCAAAAAAAAATAATTTAAGTCCAAAATTCCTAGGATTAAAACAGTAGTTGTATTGGTTCCCACAACTATGTTGCATCACTCCAATTTTCAAAAATACGATATAACATCGCAGGAGTAATAAAGTACAGGTTCCCAATCGTCATAGATCAAGACACCACTGTACGTGTCAATACTCGCGGGAATAATAAAGTTTGGAACACTGTGTAACGTCCTGATAGACCCAATCTAAACGTTTTTATATTTCGTTTAGCTAATCGTTTGGTTTCTTTTAAAATTGCAGGTCTGGTTCCAAAACCGTCGCATGAAGGACAAGCGTCAGCGTATGGCGATGGCGTGGCCGTACGCCATGTACACGGACCCGACGCTGGCGGCGACGTTGCTGGCGGCAGCGACGGCTACGCTACCTCCGCCGCCGTACCACGGCGCACCGGGTCTGCCGCCGTCTCACCTGGCGCCAAGTTATCCGGCAGCGGCGGCGGCTGCGTATTACGCCGCCAGGTACACCCCGTACCCGACGGTGCCCACCACCAGCGCGTCGTCCCTGCATCGTCCACATCCGCGCACCGCGGCCGCTTATCCGGCTCACCCTCATCTCCTGCAGCCTCACCCTTCGCTGCCACCCCTACACTTGCCTGGTCTGGGCGTTCCCACTGTGGGCAACACCGCCTTCCAGGTGAACAACCAACCGACGAGCGCCGCCGCCACCTACAGACCGACCCTGTTGCCCGAGCTCAGTCCGGTGCACTCGGACGCGTCCAGCGACTGCGACTGCGTCGGGACGCAGCCCCATCACCCGCACCACAACGGCCAGCAGATGCACGACAAGACCAGCCCGCCACCTGTCACCCACCCCTCCGCGCAGATTAAACTACCCTCGGGGATCAGCATCGCCGGTCTGCCGACCGCCATTCAAACGATCGGCGCCTTCGAGAGCAAGACATCCTACGGGAGCATCGTCTCGACGCCCAGCGTGGTACAGGCGACCAAGATGGACCCGCCCAAGCTCTTCCAGCCCTACAAGAACGACATCACCGAGAGGGCGTAAAAGCAACGATTCGGAGGATGCTTGGAATCGATCGAACCCCGACAAAGGGAGAGTCTCTCTTGGAGCAGTGATTCTTAACCTTCCTGGAGCTCACGACTACGTTTCGTGGGCGAAGGAAGATCAACCGCGAAGAATGTTGTCTATTGACCGTGGACAGCCGTACACTTTGACTCGTTCTGGGAACGACTACTGGCGGAACCTGAGTCGCATCATTCGTAACACACGATAGGATCAACATCGTCTCAAGCCCGTGGTCCAGGCGACCATGAGCTTTGAACAGCATGGTTTCCGTGGGTCAATTGCAACTGAAGGGTCAATCACACGACACGATTTACTCCGCGCGAAAAGACCGTTTGACACAGTCTTTGTTGACCCCACATATTTTGCACTCCAAATCAAATTTACTTCCTCTGCAAATCGTATGCACTTTGTAAGTGACTCCCACAGGAATACAATGTTGTTTTGTCGTTTTTTTTTGTGATTTCCCCCTCGCGAAAATGGAGGAAAAGGTTTCAGGAACGAATGTTCCCCAAGCTCTTGATCTCGTCGCTGTTTTAGTCGATCATTGTAGCCTGAGCATCGCGGAGTCGCCTGACCAAAGATTACTGATAGTTTAGCTGCTGGTTTGGTCGTGTTATGAACTGTTATCGAAGACGAAAAGTTCTTAATAATCTCCGCAAAGATGCTAAGAAGCTGTTTCGCGACACGACGGTTGGGAATCATTGTTTTAGAGCCGATCGAACCCGTAGCTCGTTGGATGTACATATCATAATTGGATGTAAATTGTTTGGTATATCGTCTGTTGTGTTAGATGTAAGTGTACATATAGCGTGGGTGAGAGGACGTTTAGAGTTAGATTTCCAAATCCAGTCAAAGCGTGTACATAGAACTGTACAGAGTCCCTCGTAAGAGACATCCGTCGTGCACAGTGAATCAGTCGAACTGCCAATCGTGTCGGGACTAAAAAAAAAGAAAACAAAAAAAATTTCGTTTCGCGGTGTAAATACGTCAGTCGGTTGTAAAGAACCTTGTACCTGTTAATAACGATAACGAGATCGCTGCGCGAAATTTGTACAGGATATATATATATATACGGATGTAAAGAGACGTCGATATGCTTAAGCCGTGATTAGAATGTTAGCGTTGTAGCAAATGTACAGTAAAAATTCGAGTTTTAAGTAATTTATTGTAGCCGTTGCGTAAGAATTTGTAGAGCTCGACGAATATCCGAGACATTTCGATTAGACTGTGGATATTTATGCTTAAGTATCTATATGTCTACGCAAAGAGGTGCGAATATATGAAGATAGAGGCGGAGAATAAATATTATATATGAACTATACACGATCTATTACAATTATTACTCCATTAGGTCCATTTTCAACTGCAGCTTTCTCAGAGGAAATTCTTAAACTTTCTTTTTAAACAGAAAGTCGATTGGTAACCAAGGTCTTCAACGTTGCACGAGTAATGGGGGGGCAGAAACAAATTTTATTCTGCATTTGGTGATCTCAAATCGTTGGTCTAAACGTGCATTTCGGTTTTCTAACGTAATAAAATCTTTGATAGAATTTTTAGCGTTTTTAGCTCTTCAGGGATGATTTTTTGGGGGTCTATTTATTATAGACAGTAACTATAATTATAAAAAAAAAATCTAAACATTCACATATGTGGTCAAGGGCGTGAAGAGGTTAATTAGGCGTCTGCTTGTTTCCAAAGTCGAAGGAAATATTGAAAAGTCGACATTTTCCATCGAATGTCGAAGTTCAAGTTCCTGTAAATTAAGGGTAGGTAAACCAGAATGTTTCTGAATGGAATAAATATAAATATGGGCGTTTGGAGTACAATTTATTTTTAAATCAGTTTCATTAAAATATTTTATAAAATTGGAGACTTTGGTTACCCATCGACCCTCGTAACTATTATCAGGCTATTTCTATAAACTTCTGTTCTTTCGATTTTGATATTAAGAACACTGAATTCTAAATGTTGTTTCTTTTTTCCATTTATTAGAGGAATTTTGCACGATATTCGTAGTCCATTTTCAATGCATGGCTTAAATAAATTCTTAACAGTTCTCCCAAGACACAACATCCATCAATCCCAGCTTCGCAGGAGTTTCGAATCAATCACTGTATTTATCTCTCCCCTCCCTTCGACGTTTGTAATAGCCTCGGGCCTTTCCTCCATTTTCACACATCCGCGCGAAAGTCGCCGATTCCCTTTATCAGGGGACGTAGGGGATGTTTTGTCGACGGTGAATTATTAATGACAATTGCGACCGATTGGTAGTTGTTACTTTACTTGTTTTGAATAAAAAATTTTAGCTATTTTATTTCGGTAGAACTTCCATGAACGATTCGACTACTTCCATGCATGTTTCTATACTTTAATGAGAATCCCAATTTACATTAATTTAACAGTATTTTTACCAATGGTGTCGGCATTTTTTGAAATTTTAACTTGAAATTATTTTCCAAACTTAAATGATAAAACTGTGGTAGAAATAGTTGCACCTTTCAAGTAATTGTCTCCCTCCATCTTGGATTTTTCTTGAGCAACTATAAAATCCTTATATTCACTTTATGCATGTGGAATAATTACGTCTAATGTTTCGCCTAAACATCGCTACTTAACTTGTGATTCGTTTTCTGGATTGCAAGCCTAATTTTCGATTAGTATCATGGAGAGTTTCTCTTGACAGTCTTCTTAATAAATACTACTGTTCTTTAGAAACTGTTTACTTAACTCTGTCAGTATCAGTGTTTCTACTAAGACAATAAATCAATATTTATCGGTAAATCTAGGTGTTATAGAAATTCAGTCGACTGTAAATAGCTAGAACTATGGATTTCGGAGGGGCACCGGGTGCAATTAATTCTTGGAACGATTTCGCCGGGAAAATGACATAATTCCGTATGAACGTTACAGGCTTAAGAACCCATTGAGGTTTAACTATGAATCTACTGCCACCTACATTCCCCTAGCTTCCCTTTGTTCGACATCGACGGATAGTACGTATTGTGCGGAACCACCGGGGTGTGTAACTATGTCCTCGAGTAGGCGAACGGTGATTCTGGGTCACTCGCCGGAACTCGGGGTAAATATTTTATTACGGTCGACGGTAAACTGGTCGGTGAAAAGAATAGATAATTAATCGATCGGTTCTTTATTCGAACGCTACACGGAAAATAAACACGGGCCACGGAATAATACGGTTAAAGGGTGAAATGGCCATTAGGGAGATTATTTGGATGATTGTTTAAATATAGCGTCCTAATACGTCGTTTGCCTCGTTGCCTGTTATTATCGTCCATGTCGACGCTAATATGTCTTGTAACAATGCTTTCTGCAAACAGTATTCAACGTTACGTCAAAGAAGTCGGTTTTCTATGGATGGTAGAGGGTTGTAGCAATTTAAAAATGTTCTCACAGTCGATACATCAATTCTATGTATTTTTAGAGCAAATCAAATTAATATTCGTACACTGCTAAAATTCACTGTGGTTCTCGTGAGATTAAAATTCATAATAGACGAATTTTTTAAACAGACTGACTACTAATTTAACGTGGATCGAATCTAGGATCGATGAAAATTATACAACACGATTTACTTAAACCAAAAATCACTGAAAGACTTGAAAAACGACCAGATAGTATCGACTCGAAAACAGACTAATTTAACGTGGATCGAATCTACGATCGATGAAAATTATACAACACAATTTACTTAAACGAAAAATCACTGAAAGACTTGAAAAACGACCAGATAGTATCGACTCGAAAACAGACTAATTTAACGTGGATCGAATCTAGGATCGATGAAAATTATACAACACAATTTACTTAAACCAAAAATCACTCAAAGACTTAAAAAACGACCAGATAGTATCGACTCGAAGACATCATCGGTGTTTTCTAAAATAAATGATGGGAAAAGAGTTCGAGGGTTAAGAAAATTATGCTCTTTGCTCGTGTTTAAAAACGAACCAGTCGAAATATTATTGCACCGTGGAACGTGAAGCTACGGAGGGGGGAGAAAAAAATGAGGTGAGAAAATCCAACGCGGCAACAACCCCCAGTGACTACTTGACCGTTCGAAAAGGCTAAACGCTTTACGACGATAGGTTTTCGTACAGATAATATAACGCTTAAACATTTTCTAATTCCCCGGCGGACCTTCGTGCGCCTCGATTCGGTCTTTTTCCGAAATTTTTTCGATGATTTTTTTACGGGCCACCAACAAAACGCCTCGTTTTATATTTATGACGGTAGATCAGCGCGGCCATATTTTTTCTATCCCCCACGGTCCCCGGGGCACGGAGATTTTATGATTTTACGAGTGGCAGGTATCGTGTCTCCTCAATTGCAGCTGCCAATGTAATCGTGAATTTTCTGCCCCGGCAATTATTTTTAAATAAACACTGTTAATCGTTATTAGCACAAAGAATGATATTTTTTTTAAAAAACAGCGCCTGGTAATTTTTGTCGAAGCGAAATCGTGTTATTCGGGTGTGGATTGAAAATTTCTCGCGATACTAGTTTAGTTTACAGAGTGATTTATCGTTTTGTTCGCCTGGGCTAGAGTTCGCGAATATAGATAAGTCGCTATCACAAGATCGATCATTTTCTTCTTCTGCTATTCAGCTACGACCCCGGCTAGTTCATCAAATATTAATATCCAATTTATGCCTTCGATACAGGAATCATCCCCCAATATACGAGCTCGTCCCTTTGAAAATTACACCGAGATCCCTCCGTTTAGGGGGGTCGTCGCCCCTCTGTTCAGACAGTATAGATACCTTTTCGAGGAATCACGGTCGATCGTGGAATTGCATTATCTTATCTGACGGGACATTAAGCGCCATTTAGACGACTACTTGCTAACAATCTATTTGCAGTATTGTTCGTAGGGTAGATTGCGAGCAGCCTCCTTGCGTCAAGATAATAAGCATAGTTTCCTGCTCCAGATACCGATAATAACGCGTTATTTATGGGAT